TTGTATGAGTTTTTTATATACTTCTGGATATATATGTCAGATATATGATTTGCAAATATTTTCTCCCATTTAATAGGTTGCCTTTTCATATTTTTGATGGTTTCCTTTGCTGTGCAGAAGCTTTTTAGTTTGATGTAGTCCCACCTATTTACTTTTGTTGCCACTTGTGTCAGAAAGGAAGCTTTTTAATATAATTCAAAAATTTTCTAATTGCAGACATTATTTGGCAAGTTTAAATTTATAGGTGTAGTATTTTGTGTTATATGAATTTGTGACATTTGAACACACAATGTCCTAGTATGCTACTGGTATGGATTTTGCTTCTCCTTAAAGCTGCCTGTTTCATAGAGACTTGAAATCAGGCCATACTACCTAAATTATCTGGTTAATATAGTTGCTATAGACCATCTGATTAAGTCAAGTTTCCGATAGATACTGTTATTGAGTGAATTACTCCTGCAGTTATCAGCTCAATTAGATAATTTGCTATCTCCTTTCTTCTCTGAGCTAGCCTTGCTGGTAATTTCACCTCTAATACTAGAAGGTTGTGCTTAAGTCCTGGCGCTATTACTAAAATGTAATAACATTAATAGAAAATTGTAGTGGCTCATTTCCTTTTCAAAACATTCCCCAAACTCATTACTAACTAATCCCAACTCTGCCTCTTGGGAGAGAAGCCAGTGGATTAGAAGAGCCATGTAGATGGAAGCATGGTAAATTTAGCTTCAGCTAAATTTTGGAAGTGATCTTAGTCAGAGCAAGAATCAGGAATTCTTAAGTTTAGTTTTGAAAGCAGTTCCCATACCTTAAAGACACATTTTTTTTTCCTAAAGATGCTTTGTCCTGAATGGAACTTTTAAATATATTGCCTTATTTCCTTTTGCCCTCACTAATGGAATTTCCAATTCTCTGGAACTTTAAAAATTCTATTACTCTTTTGAAGTACAGTAAGCAGCAAGCAGTCTTCATGTTTGGGGAATGTGGGGTGCTACTAGGAACATAAGAGATATTCTGTTTTCCAACACTCCTAATAGTAAATTCGTTATTTTACAAGCTCCTTGGTACACGTGAAAGAAACAATACAGATTCAATCTGAAGACAGATTGTCTTTTAAAAAGAGTAGGCATTCTTGAGTAACTAGGGTTTTGCCTGTTTTATTATTTTTATTTTATATTACAAAAGCAATACCTGTTTATTGTTAAAAAAATAAATAAAAGGAATTGGATAAGCAAAAGAAATTTTAAAAATTTATAATTATCCAAGCCAGAGGTAGCTACTGTTTAGGTTAGCATTTTGTTATGTTGGCTTTCAAATATTTTTCTATGCAAATATATATTTCAAGTAGTATCCCGTTACATAGTTTTATGATTTTTTTGTCCACTTACTGTATCATGAACATCTTTCCATATCTGTATTCAGCCACATTACCCTTTTTAACAAGTAGTATTCCACTTTTTGGAAGGACCAAAATGCATTTATCCAGGAATCTAATATAAGTTGTTTCCAGTGTTTTGACGGTATAAATCATAATTTGTTGAACAATTGCAGTGCCACAGAAAGGCTTAGGGTGGCTAAAATCCTCTTAATCTCTGTCAAACCCTTCTTTCTCTGCTAAGGACATTCTGTTTTCATAACAAAGTGCTCTGCCAGCAGAGCTTCAGGTTTCCCACCTCTTTCAATTAGATTTTGACATAATTCCTAACTAAAAAGAAATTTTAGATTTACCACTGGTGGCGAGTCTCTTTCTACCTAAATAATTTACCATGCTATTCATTATTTTCTTAGGATACATTCCTGTAAGTAGAATTGCTAAATCAAAAGCACGCTTGTCTTAGGGCCTTTGATACTATTATTTAAACTGTCTTCAAAATGTTTATACTAGTTTAAATCTTACCCACCAATAGATGAGTTTCCGTTTCCATGAACCGTCACCAAGAGTTAGGTATTATTATACTGTTTTTCAATCTGATTGTGAAATACCTTATTTAAGTTAGCAATTCTTTCATTACTTAAGCATATGAATATTTATATGTATACTTATTTGCCATTGTAACTTTTTCTATAAATTTCTGTTTCATGTTCTTTGCCCATTTTTCTATAAGGATGCTTATTGTATTGATTTTTAAGAGCACTTCATAAATTATGAATACTATACTTCTAGTAACCAGATTATTGTATCCAGGAGATAGCTCTAGAGGCTAAAGTTTCTGCAGGTTGTATAACTGTTCAAACAATATTTCTGTAACACTAAGTAACTTCTAGTGAGTATGACCCAAACTTGGTTATTGCCTTTTAACTCTAGATGTACTCTCTACATCTCTAGATGTACTCATCTACAACTCTAGATGTACTCTCTCATAGCTTTCTTAAATATTACAGAGCTGGAGAGAAAGTGCTGCAGGCTTGATCGTAAGCAATTTATACAAATGTAGATTCTAGTTTTTGTACACCAACTCTGTCAGGTTACAGTAAAGAAATAGAGACCACATTGTTTCTGCATTGGGTTTTTTGGTTTTGTTTTTTTTTTTTAATACAAATATTGGAGAACTGTAAATGCTCAAAGGAAATACTGAGGTCTCAAAAGGACCAAATCATTTTGACCCTTCATCTCCCACCACATCCATGCTTTCTGCTGCATTCCTGTGCCATTTATCACTGATCAGGAAAATACAATCGGCTCTGGTCCAGGATATGCAAAGACCCCAGAAATTCACAACTTGGGGACATAAAAACATTGACTTGGGTGCTCTCACCCATTCCTTTTGTATTTTGAGCCTTCGATGTTTTCCCAGAGGGCATCTTCAGAGCCACTTCTTCAACCAAATGCAATTTTAGGTTTGCAAACTTAGCTTTCTCTTGGGGGCTATAATCTAGTGATAAATATTGTACTATATCTATTTCTTCAGGTTCAAATGTCCAGCCACCATAAGAGTGATAAGAAAGAACTGGGGAGTTTGACAATGTGGAAAAATGATTATACATTAGTTTGCATTATTTCACAGCTTACTTTTAAATTGGCCCCCTTCAAAAAAGGGGGCCAATTTAACTTTGCCCCAACGTAAAATCTTTCACTGATTATCTTTTTCTCTCCATTCTCTCCAGTCTTTGACCTCCTCCCATCCGCTAGCCAGAGGCTGAACCCAGGCGCTCTGCAGCCAATCCTGACAGACCCCACACTGACTGAGCTCTATGTGATCTCCACCTTCAAGCTGCAGACTAAAAATTCAGCCACCATCTTCGGCCTTTACTCTTCAACTGACAACAGCAAATATTTTGAATTCACTGTGATGGGACGCTTAAACAAAGGTAAGCAGGTTTGCAGAAATCATTTTCTCAAAAATCTTTTTCTGTTCCAGGATCTGGGGTCTACTTTTCTTAAGTTGGTTACTTTGTACAATTTTATTCTCAACTACTATTCATTTGTTTTCAAATACCAAATTCTTCTAATTGTACATTTACCTGCGTAGGGAGAGTAAGTTGATATTAAGAGGAAGAATGAAGACTGGCTTGTGGCCAGAATATTCTTTGACATTGTCCCTCAAATTATTCTGGATCCAGTTCTGGAAGGGATAGGACGCTGGACAATTAGGTCACTGTCTTGGTCAGCTCAGGCTGATATAACAAAGATCACAAACTGGGTGTCTTAAACAACATTTATTTCTCTCAGTTCTGGAGTCCAAGATCAAGAGTGCCAGCAGACTCGGTTCCAGGTGAGAACCTGGGTCCTGGTTTGTAGAAGCCACCTTTTCACTGTCCTCATATGGCCTTTCCTCAATGCGTGCCCGTGGGGGGAGAGAGCTTTTTGTCTTCTTCTGCCGTCATGGAGATTCCACCCTCATGACCTAATTTAAACCTAATTACCTCCCAAAGTCCCACTCCCTAACACAATCACATTGTGGGGTACAGCTTCCACGTATGAATTTGAGGAGGACACAAACATTCAGCACGTAACCACCCACACCATTTTACGTTACCTTGGAAGCATGTGGCTTAGCAGACCTAATTCCTAGCTCCACTAGCACCTTCCTGGACTTGATGGGGAGACTACAGCTCAGCCAGTAGAATTAAATGAACAGCTTTTTTTTTTTTTTTACCTATTTCATGCCAGTTTACACACATCTGTCACCTGTCTGGTCCCTCTGCTATCAAATGTCAAAATGAGTTACTACAAGTACTAAAAAAATGCTTCCCAAAGAAAAACGTCACTATTTTTTTCATCTTCCTCTCCCCCTGTGCCCTGGGGACAACACCTGTTCCTGCTTATCGAGGAATGTGACAGATATGCGTTCATGCTGCCTCATGCTTTTAATAAAAGAAAAAGACTAGTCTTTCTAGCTAGATTTTATATTTATTTCAATTCGCTTTACAAAGTACATAGATATTTACAGTGCTCCAGACTCTTAGACTCTAATTGCAATTGGACACAAGTCAGCGGGTATGAGGAGCTGAACGACATTCCTAATTCTTATCTTTCATGTGATTGTAGAATTGAAAGCAAGAAGGATTGGGCTTTTAACCTTTTTTTTTTATGTCCAGTTCCAGCATTCTCCTTCCCTCCTCCCACCTGACTCACAAATCCACTTTCTCTGTCTATATGTCTCATAGCCTCTCAGGGACTGTGGCGAGGTTTCACATAATGAAGGCAGTCTGGGAACTTGGTTCATAGTTCTGCATGGTTCATAGTTTACCCCTTCCTGCTTCCCTTGCCCCATCTTCAACTCTGGTGGGAGGTAATTTCGCCCATCTCTCTGCTTTGAACTAGACAGCCCCATTTTGCCTCACTTCTGTTGAATGTCATCTAATGACCCAGCTACTCAGTTTGTGATCTGTAAAAACCACCCTTCTTCATCAAAATATCAGTACCTTCTCACTAAACTGGCTATTTTAGATGCATAGTAGATTTTTATTTTAGCTCACTCAGCTTAGTGGCTAAAAGGCCCTCTGTAGAGTGAAAAACTCTGCTTCTAGCTCTATTTCAGTATGTGTGAACCCATTGTGGAAAGTCTATGTTGTCTGGAAACACAAGAAAGCAACTTCCCCTGAACTGATTCTTTCTGTTTACTCTAAAAAGCGGGGGTAATACTACACATACAGGCAGATAGGTGGATAGGTAAGGGGGTCGTTAGTGTGTTTCCTCTGAAGAATCACCAGTTATGTGATTCAGCTGTAAATCCCAGCTGATCACCATGTTAAAAAAGATGCAAGGGATGATGAACATCTCTGCACCCTCAAACTTACTAAAGGTAAAAAGCTCTTAGAAAAAAAAATTTTTTTAAGAGTCTGAAAAGAATCCAGAAATGAAAATTTTCAGAGAGCAAAGCAAAGAGGAATTTATACTACTATTAGAATTTGGAGAATTGAAAATTTTGAATAGAGAAAATAGAGAAGTTTCACTGGAGCAATAAGAAAAAGTAGAGGGATTTACCATCAACTGTGAATCTGAAGTTTCTAGGAGAGAGCAGCAGCCCATTCTGACCACAACAAGAAAAAGTTGCTGGGTCCATCAGGTCCAAGGAAAAGACATGGCATGGTTGTGACTGCCCACTGAGGTGTTGAGTAGTGGCCAGGCAGGACTGACATAAGTTGTGGAAGGTGTGGGGAGAATCATCTTCCTGGAAGGTGAGCCCCAGTCATTATTCAACTGGCAAGGCTCAGCTGATTTCCTGTTCTCTTGATTTGCTTGGAAAACCTGAAACAGTTGGAAGAAATTAAGATGTATCTCTACTGACTTAAAACACCTGATAGGAAATTGGACTGACCTTTCCCTCCATTAAAGGCCATGTTTTGGGAGGGAGTGACTACACAGTGTCAAAGAGCAGGATTTGGTTGTGTGGGCCCTAGGTGAGCTCCTACAGCAAACTAAAGTGTATCCCATGAAAACCACAAAGAATAAGTTTGCCACTGAGCTCTCTGCTTCTACTCTCGTACTCTCCAAGCCGTCCTACCCATGATGGCCTCACCACTGTTTACAAAGCATAACTTGGACCAAATTATGCCTCACCCCAGAGACCTTTCGTGGCTTCCCAGTCCAAACCGAATAAGATATAAACGCCCCAGCTATGCATTCAGGCCTTTACCCAACCAGCCTTTCCAATTTATCCCTCCTTCCAACCCTCCACGTAGACTTTACTTCACCTAGATGGACTAGCTACCATTCCGTGGACCCAGCAATGCTGTCTTTCCATCTCCATCCTTTTGCTCTTGCCCTCTGCATCCTCTGGTACATGTCCTGCACCATCTCCAGATACCAAAATCCCACTCATTCAGGACCCATCTCAAACTCCTTCTGACATCTTATATTTCTCTGTTACCTCTATGGGAGGCACTATTCTTGGTTAGTCTTAGTATTTGAATTACTTCTAGGTCTTCTCTCCAGGAGGTTGTAAGCTCCCTCAAGGCAAGGAATGAGCATTCCTTAACTCACCTTTGTGTCATTACAGCACCTAACACAGGGCCTTGTACATAGAAGTGGCTCATGAACAGATTGAATAGAATAAATGGAGGCTGAGAAGAGTAGCTTCATTTGTTAAAGGAGACATACACTATTGTGGAAATTCTGGAAGCATGCAATGGCATATAGTAGGTCTGACCCAGATTCATTTTTGAATGAGTGAATGTTGACCATTCAGATGAGACTATAAAAGAAATATAGGTAGTATTTCTGATAGAAATTATCTATCAGATTATTAGTAAGTAATACAGGTGGTATAATGTGGCATAATCTTGTTAGAAATAAGCATTCTACAGAAACAGTCTGGCTGGACAGAAGGTATGCTTGATGCTTTTGTCATATCTGGCATAGAGGCAACTTTCCAGTTAGTATCCTATTTGAGTCACAGTTAAAAATCTTTACAACTGTGTCACTGCGATTGCACCTCTGAATCATTCTGAGCTTCGATTACTAGCTCTAAAGTGGGGATGAGATAATAGCCACCTCACAGGTTGATTGCAAGAAGTAATTATATAAAGTATAATAACATTTTTTAAACTGAAACTCAATAAAAATGTCAGGTTCTTATATAAGGGAAGGAGGAGAGGGAGAGATGGAGGGGAAAGAGAGAGATGGAAGTGGAAGTGTAGAGGTAGATAGATATCTCTACTATTTAGGCAACTATCTCCCAAAGATGATTTGGTGAGCTTGTCCTGCCTTGCCCTGATGGAAGCTTCACCTTTCAGAAAAAGCGAATGAGAAGAACTGCTTCTTTAGTCTCAATTTGATCACCGCAGAAGAACAGCCTCATGCTGGGGAAATGATAGGAAACCCCCAAGAACTTGCAGTAATCATTGGAGAGTCCAGTCAAGCCCCTGGGCCTAAGGGTAGAAAATGTCACATAGTTCAGAGTAGTGGTTCTGAAGCCCGTGGGTTAAAGAGAGCTACAACTTGAGAGAGATGTAAGAGTTTAAAAAATTAGAATTCTGAACCTAATAATGAAGGGTAAAAAATGAGGTGCCTCAAACAATAATACTGTACTGCTAGGAGTTGGCAAGTTGTCCTATAGCAAAGTAGCTAGTGTTTTTTGACAAGGCTCTGTCTTGGACATTGAACTGTTCAACTTATCAGTGACTTAGGTGAAGACATAGACAATGTTTTGCCATATTTGCAGCTGGCACGAAGCTGGAAAGAACAGTGTAACATATTGGATGCCATCATCAAGATTTATAGGGCCCTACCAGGCTGACATAATATGTCACCATCAGTCAGATGAAATTTAACAAGAATAAATGTAAATCCATCATCTAGAAAAGTGCGGAAGAACAAGGTGTGGGAGATCTAAGAGTTCTAGTCAACAACATTAAGAACCAGTCAGTGTTGACTGGCTCCTGACATAAGAGTTGCTAAAAAATGTTTGCTCAATGGGCAGATACAGTGATGCAATGGTTTTTAAAAAGCTCCTTAAATTATAGGCTTTGTTAATACATATGTATGGCCACAGTAAAAGAACTAATAGTCCCACTCTACTCTGAATTGTCCAGGCCACATCTAGAATGTTGTGTCTAGTCCTGGACACATCTCACAGGGACACTGTCCAGAGATTACCTTGAGGGTCACCAAAACAGCACCTTTCTGGTCCCCATTTTTTACTACACCTTAAGTCAAAAAGTTAAAGGAATTGGAGCAATAAAGGAGCCAGACAGAAGACATGAGAGAGAAAAGTTGCCTTAAAATACATGAAGACTGTCATTAGGATTGAGGATAAAGCTACATCTGTCTCCAGCTCCGAAGAGTAAAATTAGGACCCACTGGTGGAAGTCAGAGGAAACAAATACTGGCTCTGTATTAGGAAAATCTTGGAGAGCAATCCAAA